CCAGCCTCAGAAATTGCAGCCCAAATAAATGCTTCACAGAGTTCAAGTAACAGACACATCTCAACATCAACTGTTCAGAGGAGACTGTGTGAATCAAACCTTCATGGTCGAATTGCTGCAAAGAAACCACTACTAAAGGACACCAATAAGAAGAAGATACTTGCTTGGGCCAAGAAACACGAGCAATGGACATTAGACCGGTGGAAATGTGTCATTTGGTCTGGAGTGCAAAATGGAGATTTTTGGTTCCAACCGCCGTGGCTTTGTGAGATGTGGTGTTGGTGAACGTAAGATCTCTGCATGTGTAACTTTTGACCGGTAGTGTAGCTGTGCAGCGTCGCTCCCCATCCAACCTGACAGAGCTTTAGAGGAACTGCAGAGAAGAATGGGAGAAACTCCCCAAATACAGGTGTTCCAAGCTTGTAGCGCCATACCCAAGAAGACTCCAGGCTGTATTCGCTGCCAATTACTGAGTAAAGGGTATGAATACTTATGTAAATGCAATATTTCAGTTTTTTTTAATGTAAATACCTGTTTTTGCTTTGTCATTATGGGTTATTGTGTGTAGATTGATGAGGAAAAAAACTATTTAATCCATTTTAGAATAAGGCTGTAATGTAACAAAATGTGGAAAAAGTCAAGGGGTCTGAATACTTTCCGAATGCACTGTATGTAGCCAGGTGAATCCAGGCGAAAGCTTTGATCCCTTGTTGATGTCACTTGCTAAATCCACTTCAATGAGTGTAGAAGGGGAGGAGACAGGTTAAAGAAGGATTTTTAACTCAATATTAGGAAGGTGTTCCTAATGTTTGGTTTACTCAGTGTATTTGAATGATATTGAAATCAATTTAATGTTAATTAATCCATTGAGTTTTATTTAGCTATTTGTCACATTTTTGTCTCAATATATTTAATTATGTGTAATGTACGCAATGATGCCACATATTGATTTATTTATTACAGGACATGCATTAGAATTAGCCGCCTCAATATTTGTAGCCATAGGTGATTGTAGCCAGGAGCTGATCCGTCGGCAGTATTGTGGAATAAGTCTAATGTTAAGTTAAGATTGGAAAGGGAGAACACTGATCAGAGAGCAGCCCTGTCTTTCTTTCGTTCTTATCAGTATCGACACGTCTCAACAACGCACTTAGCGAACGTTCTCTCTGCGTGTTGTTCTGGGAAATGCATGTTACATCTTCGGCCGTTGTAGGAAAGATGCATCGTTAAAACACTCTAAGCCTAAATTCCATCGCTATCGGGAAACCGGGCCAATATATTTTTAAGGCGGGAAGTCGATCCATGCAAGAACCATCCAATGAATAAATGTGTAGTCCATCGGATAAATTTTTGCCTGAATAAGAGAACAACATATATTTAGTTTGCCCGCATTAGGTACAAGTGTTAAGGCAACAAGGGCTTTCTGTATGGCAACAAAGTCAGTTTGCAGCTCTTAAATAACTTGGTCAACAGTTGGGGAAATGGCATACATAACCATATCATCTGCATACAGATGAATGTTACAGGTTTAAACAGATAGACCAATATTATTTACATAAATAATTGACTATAGCACACAGAAATAGTTATTTGCACTGTAAAAAAAAAGGTTGTTATGTACAGTAAGTTTGTCATGAAGCTCTATTACAGTGGGGAGAACAAGTATTTGATACACTGCCGATTTTGCAGGTTTTCCTACTTACAAAGCATGTAGAGATCTGTATTTTTTATCATAGGTACACTTCAACTGTGAGCGACAGAATCTAAAACAAATATCCAGAAAATCACATTGAATGATTTTTAAGTAATTAATTTGCATTTTATTGCATGACATAAGTATTTGATACATCAGAAAAGCAGAACTTAATATTTGGTACAGAAACCTTTGTTTGCAATTACAGATATCATACGTTTCCTGTAGGTCTTGACCAGGTTTGCACACACTGCAGCAGGGATTTTGGCCCACTCCTCCATCCTTCAGGTTTCGGGGCTGTCGCTGGGCAATACAGACTTTCAGCTCCCTCCAAAGATTTTCTATTGGGTTCAGGTCTGGAGACTGGCTAGGCCACTCCAGGACATTGAGATGCTTCTTACGGAGCCACTCCTTAGTTGCCCTGGCTGTGTGTTTCGGGTCGTTGTCATGCTGGAAGACCCAGCCACGACCCATCTTCAATGCTCTTACTGAGGGAAGGAGGTTGTTGGCCAAGATCTCGCGATACATGGCCCCATCCATCCTCCCCTCAATACGGTGCAGTCGTCCTGTCCCCTTTGCAGAAAAGCATCCCCAAAGAATGATGTTTCCACCTCCATGCTTCACGGTTGGGATGGTGTTCTTGGGGTTGTACTCATCCTTCTTCTTCCTCCAAACACGGCGAGTGGAGTTTAGACCAAAAAGCTCTATTTTTGTCTCATCAGACCACATGACCTTCTCCTATTCCTCCTCTGGATCATCCAGATGGTCATTGGCAAACTTCAGATGGGCCTGGACATGCGCTGGCTTGAGCAGGGGGACCTTGCGTGCGCTGCAGTATTTTAATCCATGACGGCGTAGTGTGTTACTAATGGTTTTCTTTGAGACTGATGTCCCAGCTCTCTTCAGGTCATTGACCAGGTCCTGCTGTGTAGTTCTGAGCTGATCCCTCACCTTCCTCATGATCATTGATGCCCCACGAGATGAGATCTTGCATGGAGCCCCAGACTAAGGGTGATTGATCTTCAACTTCTTCCATTTTCTAATAATTGCGCCAACAGTTGTTGCCTTCTCACCAAGCTGCTTGCCTATTGTCCTGTAGCCCATCCCAGCCTTGTGCAGGTCTACAATTTTATCCCTGATGTCCTTACACAGCTCTCTGGTCTTGGCCATTGTGGAGAGGTTGGAGTCTGTTTGATTGAGTGTGTGGACAGGTGTCTTTTATACAGGTAACGAGTTCAAACAGGTGCAGTTAATACAGGTAATGAGTGGAGAACAGGAGGGCTTCTTAAAGAAAAACTAACAGAGCCAGAATTCTTACTGGTTGGTAGGTGATCAAATACTTATGTCATGCAATAAAATGCAAATGAATTACTTAAAAATCATACAATGTGATTTTCTGGAATTTTGTTTTAGATTCCGTCTCCCACAGTTGAAGTGTACCTATGATAAAAATTACAGACCTCTACATGCTTTGTAAGTAGGAAAACCTGCAAAATCGGCAGTGTATCAAATACTTGTTCTCTTATCATGCTTTCAAATTGTTTAAATGTTCTAGATTTTTCCACATAATGTAGTTTGAAAGCCAATAGTTGAAAAAAATATACAGTAATATAAGACAGCAGTTTTCTTTGTTACAAATCAAAAGATGACCATCGTGCTCTCTCAAAAGTCAGGTTAGAGAGAAAAAGCAATGAATCCAGATAAGTAAAAGATGGTAATGAAGAGTCACTGAAAAAGACGTGGTATACAGCTTACTTAATTTTTCAATTTTGTATTATTTTTACTGCATCAGGATAGCATACACAGAAGATTAGGCCTTCTTCAGTGTGTAGGTTCAAATATTTTTCAATGAGAAATAACGTTTATAGGGAACACAGGTGAGTAGCAGGTGCTTCTAACCCCTTAAGGTCGATGTCTGCGCCCTCGCGGAAATCTAATTAGCATAATACAATAATCCCCCCCAAAATCAATCAGTTTAGGCTAGAAATACAGTTGAAGTCGGAAGTTTACATACACCTTAGCTAAATACATTTCAACTCAGTTTTTCCACAATTCCTGACATTTAATCCTAGTGAAAATTCCCTGTCTTACGTCAGTTAAGATCACCACTTTATTTTAAGAATGTGAAATGTCAGAATAATAGTAGAGAGAATTATTTCTTTCAGCTTTTATTTCTTTCATCACATTCCCAGTGGGTCAGAATTTTACATACACTCAATTGGTAATTGGTAGCATTGCCTTTAAATTGTTTAACTTGGGTCAAACGTTTCGTGTTGCCTTCCACAATAAATTGGGTGAATTTTGGCACATTCCTCTTGACAGAGCTGGTGTAACTGAGTCAGGTTTGTAGGTCTCCTTGCTCGCACACGCTTTTTCAGTTCTGCCCACACATTTTCTATTTTTATATTTCTATTCTTGGCTAAGGTGTATGTAAACTTCCTACTTCAACTGTAAGTGACAAGTGGATTTTGCACCCCTCGAACAGATGGCTGAAAAAGTCAGATCCTCATACGCGTTGCTAATAATATTGTTGTATACGGACTCAGAAGTTAATTTTTTTTTTCAATTAGGGGCAGGTAAAGGGAAAAGTCAATTAAACCAACTATGGAAGTTGTAGAAAATAATTGAAATCCAAGATCAGAATATCACTTAAAAAAGAGTGTATCCTTGAGATAAATATAATAATTATCCTAATAATTTGGTTCCTTAAAGCCTAGGCTTCTGACTTTAGTTTTATTTCATTATACATGGCAGCTAAAATCTGAGTTGTTTATACAATTCAACGTATACTGCTGATGACAACGGTGTTAAGTGTCAGCAGACATTTAATTTATAGTCAATCCACATGGTTGGGAATTTATATTGGATAATTGGATAATTACTTTAGATGATTATGGTATGAATGTAACAGTTAGTTCACACGTGGTGTGAGAAGGTGCTATATCTGCCTCATAAGGTGGGATGAAAAGGAATCCCCAAATCAAAGGGCCCTACCTATAAATGCTGTTTCTGATTGATTTTATTTTAAAACCTACACACTGAGGCCTAAACATCTGTGTACGCTATCCTGATGCAGTAAAAAGTAAGCTTTATCTTTTTGAGTGTGGACCCATCACACATTTTTTGCTTAAATCAACAGTTGCTCAGAAATGTATGATCTTGACAAAAACATATTACTGCTAGTTACAAGAAAATTCCTCATTCACTGTTGCTTCACTTGATTTATCCAGTGCTACTCTATCCTTCAAGTGACCGAGACCAGATCTGAAAGCAAGGACTCTCCTTATCGTCAAATTAAAAACTGGACTCAGGTGACACTGACTATTATTGACAAAGTGTTGACAAGCAACCAGAAGAATGTCTTAGTGTACTTACTGGGTGGCTTGTTGGCAGCCAGGTTTTTGAAGTGACTGCCTTTGATGATCTCCACTGAGAGACGGCCCGTGGTGGCATTGTAGACGAGCCCTACCAAGATCTCTGGTGTGGAGCCATGGCTGGCTGACTGGAATGAAGAGGCACTTTCACTGCAGGACATCTCCGATATACTAGCCTGGGATTCACCGCCCTGCTAACACACGGGTGGACAGACAGATGGACCAACAAGAAGGTCAGTGAATTTTCAGGGCCCACATCTCAGAGTAGGAGTGCTGATATAGGATCAGTTTTTCCTGAATTTGTAATAATTAATACAATGGACAGAGGGTGACTTGATCCTAGATCTTTATGAATACAGGCCCAGGATTCAATGTCAGTGAAATTTGAAGTAAGGAATATACATTCTTATGATAAAAATGCAGAGATACCGTAATAACTGGCAGACCTGCTCTGACGAACTATTGAGACAGCATTGGACAGTTGTTAAGGTTTGTATGGGTTTTTCTGTGTTTTGCTGTTTTGGACTATGTTCCTCACCCTTTACAAAGGGCTGACTATCCCAGTTAATCCATTTCTCTATTAACTAAATACAATCCAAACTTATGGGCAGGAGAACCAGCATTATACAAAGCATCACAGTAGTCTTATTAAGTACATGACAATGCCCAGGAACAGTACAAACACCCTGTTTGTGTACAGTAAATGCTTGCAGCCTAGCTTTTCCTTTGATCTACTCACCGGGAAGGCACAGCAGGGGTCCAGTATGACCGGCACTGACATCTTGCCCTGCAGGTTGAGCTTGGTGAGGTAGAACACCTTCTCTCCAAGCACCTTCTCTTTCTTCATCCGCCGCACGCTGTAGAGACGGAATCGAATGGAGTAGTTGCTGATCATCTCTGACTCCACGTGACTGAAGCGGAAGGTCTCCGTGAAGACCGGGCAGGGCCCTTTCTGGATGCCCGTCTTCGCCCTCTGCTTTTTCGTGGGCAGCAGCACCAGATGTACCTGCCAGGCGACGTTACCTGTACGCTTGAGGGCCGGGATGTCCGTTACGGCCATGACCGTCACCGCCAGCCGCTGGTCCTGGGAGTCGTAGTCGAACACCACATCCAGGGTGCCATATTTGGCCAGGGGTTCCGGTTCGTAGCCCTTGGGGAGCTGCACTGCTGACCCCCGGGCAGACATGTCCTAAAGAGACACATTACACCACACAGGAAGTAATGTACCAAAGATTGGCAAACGTAATGCATAACATTCTTGAAGTCTACTTTACACTGCCATAAGTATGATCTATCATACCTTATGCAGTCATAACAGCTCTTGGACTATTTCTACATTGCTAGTCACTTGAACTAGAGAAGTACTGAATATTTGCTTGAAACTGAACAGCCTTGACTATCACAAACACCTGAGCTACGAGAGAGATGCTAAAGACACCATCTCTAGTTTCTACTTGGGTGAGCAGATGTACAGTAGGATGAATTGGAGGATTTGGACTACGGGAGGTGAAATGGATCAGGACAATCAAAGTTACCTTATGTTTTTGACGTAGTTTATCTTTGCTCTTGTACCATGACCTGTATAAGGGCTTCTGTCAGATAAAAACATAACATTTACATTTTTACATTTTAGTCATTTAGCAGACGCTCTTATCCAGAGCGACTTACAGTTAGTGAGTGCATACATTATTATTATTATTATTATTATATATATATATATTTTTCATACTGCCCCCCCGTGGGAATCGAACCCACAACCCTGGCGTTGCAAACGCCATGCTCTACCAACTGAGCTACATCCCTGCCGGCCATTCCCTCCCCTACCCTGGACGACGCTGTGCCAATTGTGCGCCACCCCATGGGTCTCCCGGTCACCACTGCGCCACTCGGGAATATAAAAACATAACACATGTTTATGAGGGAAATCTATCAGACAAAATCCTGACAGTGGTGATATGTTTTGCATGAGACCTTATGTGAGACTAAGTAAATCACATTTGTAAGGCTGTTTCAAAGGCTGGATTACAATCCGATAATTTACTCCCTCCTTCCAGATCTGAAAATACTTCTTGATAGCAATATTGCAATAGCTCAACAATACCGGGTGCTGTTTTCAACATCTTGTTTACATCCATCCAATAATTTCCAATCTCTGAGGGTGAGGGGTTAACAGGGAATTTATTGGACTGGAATTCAAGCAAAGAGAGTGGGAAATTTGTTGGGAGAAATAGAGGTTGAGAGACTTTGGCTATCTGTGTGCATGTGTGTGTGGTCCTGAAGCCCAAAGTAAGTGTTTCATTCCAATCATCTCTACCCATCACGGCCACGCTTATGCACATAATCACAGTCTTATGCATGAAAAATCTACATTTGCAAAAAGGCACTTTAGAATCCTCTTCTATAGACCCCACACCAGATACTACTAAATTCAGAAATATTCAGTGCACAGAAAATGCTATAATCAAATTACCGAAAACGCTATACATCATCCTCTGAGCTCTAGTCTTGTCTGAACCATATGGTTTCCCAATCAAATTACTTTAATAACTCTTCTTCTTTCTTTTAATTTAAGCCTTTTGCTCCTTTGTGAAGGAATGGGGGACTCTGTAGCACCCTCAGCAGGTCGGTAGAAACCGGAAGCATCTGGTTTTCAGGGAAAACAGAGAGGAAGAGGTGAAGCCTGAAAACCGGATGCTTCCTGTTTCTACCGACCCCGCTCAGGCGTTTCTTTTACACCTGCTACATTAGGTTACTCTGTAGTGGTTCAGAGAGAGAAGTTGAAAAGGAAAATGGCTGTGCAAATGTAGAAATATATATTTATCCCCGGTTCAGGTTTCCATGGCAGTTGGTCCTTCTTTTCCATGTGGTTGCCATGGTTTCAGTCAAGTCTAGAGTGCCGGCTATACATCAGCATTTCTCTTTTGTTTTGTTATTTTGTTGTTTTTTAACTATCGTTTGGCCTACCAAAATATCCAGTAACACTGTATTTTAAGGTACACATCAATGTGGGACTAAAGTATGTAAATTAATTAATTTCAAACAACTAAACTTCCATAAATACTTCCATATACACTGAGAGTAAAAAACTCCTAATATTGAGTTTTGCCCTCAGAGCAGCCTCAATTCGTCGGGGTATGGACTCTACAAGGTGTCGAAAGCGTTCCACAGGGATGCTGGCCCATGTTGACTCCAGTGCTTCCCACAGTTGTGTCAAGTTGGCTGGATGTCCTTTGGGTGGTGGACCATTCTTGATACACACAGGAAACTGTTGAGCGTGAAAAACCTAGCAGCGCTGCAGTTCTTGACACACTCAAACTGGTGCTCCTGCCACCTACTACCTTACCCCGTTCAAAGGCACTTAAATATTTTGTCTTGCCCATTCACCCTCTGAATGGCACACATACACAATCCATGTCTCAACTGTCTCAAGGCTTAAAAATCCTTCTTTAACAAGTGACATCAATAAGGGATCATAGCTTTCACCTGGATTCACCTGGTCAGTCTATGTCATGGAAAGAGCAGGTGTTCCTAACGTTTTGTACACTCAACATGGGCCAGCATCCCTGTGGAACGCTTTCGACACCTTGTAGAGTCCATGCCCCAACGAATTGAGGCTGTTCTGAGGGGGGGTGCAACTCAATATTAGGAAGATGTTCATACTGTTTGGTATACTCAGTGTGTATGTCATATAGCCAACATTCAAGTCTGATATAAACAACCAGTGGCTACCCGTCATTTAGAGCCCCACCTGTTTTGAGCCCCACCTGTTTAGCTAAAAAAAAAAAAAAAAAAATTGTTAACTGTTTTGTATGTTATTTTGGCATTAATACGTGTCGAAATATCAGTTTGCAAATAATGTAAAAAAATTAATAATTTACTTAATAAAGCCGCATCCAAACATGGTCTCCTTTTTGCTTTCTTGAGTAAGGCAGCTCCAAAATACAGGTCCAAGTCTGGGTTTAAGGGTCTCTTTTCCAAGCTTAAAATGATAAACATTCATATGCAACACCTTGGGCCAGAAAAGGTTGAATACATTGGCCATGCCGACAATCCAGCGTTCAAAACAACTGGAAACTCCGAACTGGGAAATCTCAGACTTCAGTGAGTTAAAGACAACTGGGTACTCTGAAAAAATACATTGTGAACGGTCATCCAACTCGGACTTCCAAGTCGGGAACTCGTGCCTCTTTCTAGAGCTCCGACCTGACGTCATGATTCAACCTTGTTTTTTTCACTAAGCCCAAACCTGATGGGATGGCGTATCGCTGCAGAATGCTGTGGTAGCCATGCTGGTTAAGTGTGCCTTGAATTCTAAATAAATCACAGACAGTGTCACCAGCAAAGCACCCGCACACCATAGCACCTCCTCCTCAATGCTTTACGGTGGGAACTACACATGTGGAGATCACCCGTTCACCCACACCGCGTCTCACAAAGACACGGCGGTTGGTACCAAAAATCTCCAATTTGGACTCATCAGACCAAAGGACGAATGTCCACCGGTCTAATGTCCATTGCTCGTGTTTCTTGGCCCAAGCAGGTCTCTTCTTCTTATTGGTGTCCTTTAGTAGTGTTTTTTTTCTTCAGCAATTCGATCATGAAGGCCTGATTCACACAGTCCCCTCTGAACAGTTGATGTTGAGATGTGTCTGTGACTTGAACTCTTTGAAGCATTTATTTGGGCTGCAATTTCTGAGGCTGGTAACTCTAACTGATCCTCTGCAGCAGAGGTAACTCTGGGTCTTCCATTCCTGTGGCGGTCCTCATGAGAGCCAGTTTCATCAGAGCGCATGATGGTTTTTGCAACTGCACTTGAAGAAACTTTCAAAGTTCTTGAAATGTTCCGTATTGACTGACCTTCATGTCTTAAAGTAATGATGGACTGTCATTTCTCTTTGCTTATTTGAGCTGTTCTTGCCATAGTATGGACTTGGTCTTTTACCAAATAGAGCTATCTTCTGATTGCCAACACAACTGATTGGCTCAAACACATTCAGAAGGAAAGAAATTCCACAAATTAACTTTTAAGAAGGCACACCTGTTAATTGAAATGCATTCTAGGTGACTACCTCATGAAGCTGGTTGAGAGAATGCCAAGAGTGTGCAAAGCTGTCATCAAGGCAAAGGGTGGCTATTTGAAGAATCTCAAATATAAAATATATTTTGATTTGTTTAACACTTCCATATGTGTTATTTCATAGTTTTTGATGTCTTCACTATTATTTTACAACCAGAGTAGGGTGTTGCCATGAAGACTGAGGGCACAGCCCCTTCATTATCGCTTTGTGCCGACACATCAAAGCGGCCGTTCCAGACTCTCAAGTCAAGGAGGTAGAGGCTGGTGTTAGCAAGACGAGGCCCAGCAAGTTTCTGAAAGTTCCTTAGGCTTGGAAAACATAAAATAACCCAACACTGTTTTAAGTTTCGGAGTGGCTGTAGATCAGACTTTTCCCTGACCTTTAAAGATCCCAAAGCTTCTGCGCATGTGCGGAACTAGTTCTGCGCATGGATTAATTCTCTACTTTGCGCACGGCCTCTGCTCTTCTCATAGAGGACAGGCTACTCTGGCAAATGTGCTCGTTTAATAAAGTTAGATCAAAGCTGAATAAATGTCTGCAAGATCATATAATAGTATTCTACATAACAGAACAGAGCATGGCGCTTGCAATGCCTGGGTTGTTGGTTCGATTCCCACGGGGGACCAGTACAAGAAAGTACGAAAACGTATGCACTCACTACTCTGCATAAGAGTGTCTGCTAAATGACTAAAATGTCAAATGTAAATGTAAATTTCGCTCACTGTACATCATTCAAAATAACACTGTAGGCTACTTCGAAACAACACTGTATAACTCAAGAAGATCTAAATGCATATCCCCATGAAACTGAAAACTGAAAAAGAAGCAGATATTGAATATCCCTTTGAGCATGGTGAAGATATTAATTACACTTTGGATCGGGGGTGTCAAACTCATTCCATGGAGAGCCTAGTGTCTGCAGGTTTTTGTTTTTTCCTTCAATGAAACCCTAGACAACCAGGTGTGGAGAGTTCCTTACTAATTAGTGGCCTTAATTAATCAATCAAGTACAAGGGTTAGGAGCGAAAACGCGCAGACATTCAGCCCTCCGTGGAATGAGTTTGACACCAGTGCTTTGGATGGTGTATCAATACACCCAGTCACTACA